CTACTACCTCCCAAGTACCATTCTTTTTTAGCGCATTCATTTCCTCCATCACAGCATTTTTCCATTCAGGTATACTAAGTGCCTCATGTATATCAGATGGAATCTTTGCTTCATCTAGGTTTGTTACAAATGCACGAAATTGAGGAGATAAGGCATGGTATCTTACAAATTTCTGAATCGGATGCTGTGTGCATGTTCTGGGTTGTTTCCTAATGGCTATAGGCAAGTTTAACTCATCAGATTCTTCATTCTCAGCCACTTCTTTCCCTCCAGATTTATTTCTTACATCACTTTCAGCTTCAAGAACCTCTATTGGTTCAGATTCAGGTTGTGCTTCAAACATAACAGTCTCTCTATTTCGCCATTTCTTTCTTGAGTACATCAATGGTGTCTTGTTCAGTGCTTTTCCTGCATTATAATCTGAAAGACTTTTCACTTCAGTTGTTGGCATAGAAGACTGAATACTAGAATCAGTAAGTGGCTGGATAAGAATTCTGGTATTTGTGGGGTGTGTCTGGGAGTTTTCAGATGCTGGAAATAATTCTGGAAGTAATTCAGAATTTTCAGAAATAGCTGAGTTCTTATTCAAAAGCTGAGAATAACTCCCCCTCTCCCCCGGAGTCGAAGCTTTAGAATAGAATGGGATATGTTCAGCAAAGGTGACATCATGACTGACATACAAATGTTTAGAGCATGAGTCAAAGCAATTGTATCCCTTCTGAGTTGAGGAATATCCTAGAAAAATGCAAGGAACAGCTTTGGGTTCCAATTTATGGGATGAGTGAGTGTGAACATAAGAAGTGCAGCCAAAAATTCAAAGAGACAGATTAGTATCAAGGTGGTTAACAGAATGAGTTTCTTTTAATTTTTGAACAGGTGTAGAATAGGAAAGAACCCGACTAGGCATGCGATTTATCAAATAGGTAGTTGTTAAAATTGCATCCCCCCAGAAATACTTTGATACATTATAAGTAAATAAGAGGGCACGAGCAACTTCTAACAAGTGTTTGTTTTTCCATTCCGCAATGCCATTTTGTTGGGGAGTGTTACGACAAGTACTCTTATGAATGATCCCATGCTCTTTAAGGAATAGATCCATGGCATTATTGAAGTATTCTGTGCCATTATCATTGTGCAGCTCTTGAATAGACACATTGAATTGGTTCTTTATCATTGTAAAGAAATCAGAAAAGATAGACGGAACAGAGGATTTATCATGCATTAAGTAAACCTAACACATTCTAGTGTGATTGTCTAAAATGTAATGAACCATTTGGTATTTGTGCAATTAGGAATACGAGTAAGCCCCCACAAATCACTATGAATTATTGAAAAAGGATGAGGGGATTTATACTCAACAGGTTTGAAACTTGATCTTTGATGTTTAGCAAATTCACAATTGACACAATGAAAGGAAAAGATTTTATCATATTGGATTTTGGGAAACAAATGACATGAATATTAGAAATTTGGATGACCCATTCTCCTATGCCATAACATAAGATCTTTAAAGTCTTTATTCTCAAATGTAGATGCAACATGGCATTGAATTCGAGACCAAAGTGTACTCACGGTTGATTCATCTAAATAGTAGAGATATTATGTTCTTTAGCACTCCTAATCATCTTCCCCGATATGAGGTCTTGAAAAATATAGTGAGTAGAACAAAAATGAGTCCAACAATTTGCTTGTTTTGTTAGCTTACTTATTGACAATAAACTGCAAGCTAAATGCGGGACATGTCACACATGTTCTAATTTCATAGCATAAGAAATAATCACACTCCCTATTCCTTCAATTGAAAAAGATGACCCATTTGCTGTACTAATTTTCTCGTTCCCACCACTAGGGACGTATGTACTGAATAATTTTGAATTAGAGGTCATATAATATGATGCCCGAGTATTAACAATCCATTTGAAATTAGTAGTAATGGTGAGCAGAGCACAATTACCTCTGTGGGTCATTGAGGCAGTATGATTTGATTGATGATGTTGATCACCTTTTTGAAGTACATTTAACATCTCAAGTAACTTACCTAGTTGCTCCTTATCAATTTGGGGCACTGGTGGTGTTAAATCTGGATTTTGTGATTGTACATCATGCGATGTTTGGTAACCTCTAGTCTTTCCTTTTTTCGGTTTCCAGTCTACTGGCCTGCCATGGATTTCCCAACAAGTATCACGTGTGTGTCTAGTCTTTTTGCAATGGTCACAAGTAATCTTCCCTTTTTGGCCCTTTTGGTTATCACCACTCTTGCTGACAAGTGCAACAGAGTCTAGAGAAGGAGATGAAGATGGAGTAGTTCCAAGAAGCATTACCTTTCGTCTAGAAGCTTCACAACGTACCTCAGAGAATAGTTATCTTGTTGATGGGAGTGGCATACGACTCAGAATCCCCCTTCGAACATCATCTAGAGACTGATGAAGTCCAGCAAGAAATTGGAAGACACGTTCACCTTCAATTTGCTCCTTATAGCAAATAACGTCTCTGCGACTGGACCACTCCACTTCTGTCATCAGGTCCAGTTCTTGCCAAATGGCCGTTAGTTCTAAACAAAAGGCAGTAACCTCATGTTCTCCTTGTTGCAGCGTCCAGGCCTTAGTTTTAAGTTCATATAGTCTTGACAGGTCCTTCCCATCAGAGTATGAGTCACGTACTGCCTTCCAAATCTTATGAGCTATAGGAAGAAACATGAAACTCTATGGAATTTCTAGAACCATCGCATTTATCAACCACAATGAGACCAGGGAATTTTTGGCATCCCAATGTTGAGCCCCGTGCGATTCGGACTTCTCTAAGATTCTCAATGAACCATCAATATAGCCCACCTTCCCTCTTCCTCCCATCGCAAGTTTCATCGCTTAAGCCCACAGCCGATAATTTTCTCCACTAAGCTTAACAGTGATGATATACATCGATGATCCTTCGTGACTGGTAGTCAACCCAAGGGGACCGCCTGTCCTACTCGGATCAGTTTTCGAGGACCCATCGTTCTTCGACATTGAGGAAGAGAGATTTGGGTTCAACTCGGTCTCGACGTTTTCTAAATCAGATTGATCGAAAGTTTCAAGAGATAAGCCAAGCTCTGATCCCATATAGCAATAAGGCTTATTGAACTTTTGTATTTCAGCTGAGAAAGAGTGCAGGGATAAATAGAAGAGAAACACGATCAGATCTCCGAGAATTAAGGAGATTGACCCAAAAACGAATATCCTATAATAATAACAAACAACTAGCCGAGTTATTCTCCTAAACTATTTACAGCAAATATATACAATAAATATTAGGTCTAACCACAGTGGCAAACAGCTTAATTGCTGAAATAGTCAAACAACACGAGTTCCCTAAGACCATAGTTTTAGATAGGGACTGTATGTTCATCAACCACTTTTGGAGGGAATTATTTAATTAGGAACCATGCTGAAATATAGTTCAGGTAGCCATCCACAAATGGAGGTAGTAAACGGCAGAGATAGGTAAAGATGTTAGCTTGAGCTGAATTTTGGTTCAATACTACTTACAATAGATCTTTGGGTGCCACTCCTTTCAAGGCTCTACATGGGAGAGATCCGCCTTTCATTCTTAAGTGGAAAGATGATGATTCACAAGTGGAGGATGTTAATGACCAAATTAAGAATGGAATGAGATTCTGTAGAAGCTCAAATCTCACCTTGAGCAAGCTTAGGCCAAAATGAAGGAGCAAGCAAATAAGAAGCGAAGAGATGTCAAGTTTCAAGTAGGGACAGAGTATATCTGCATATTCAGCTGTATAAACTCAAGAATCTGGCTAGGAAACAGCATGAGAAACTGGCTCCAAAATTTTATGGACCTTATGAGGTTTTGCAACACGTGGGCAAAGTGACTTATGAACTGAAGTTACTGAGACAGCAGGATTCACCCCATTTTCCATGTGTTCCAGCTCAAAAAATCCATTTCAACCACTGTGACTGCCCAACAACTCCCAAAGTCCTTATCTGAGGATTATGAACTGCAAGTTCAACCTAAAGATGTGAAGAAACTGAGAAAAATGACAGATGGCAGCAAGTTCTCATTAAATGACAAGATTAACAAGATTGTGACAGCACTTGGAAGGATCTAATTGTGATTGTGGCTCAATTCCCAGAGGACAAGATGGCACTTCTACAGGAGGGAGATGACGAGACCAGTACATTTAAGAGCCATGTTTATAAAAAAAGGCCTGCCAAAACTAACAATGAAGCCCGAGACAGCAGTGAGGACCAGATAAAAGGGTACCAAAGTGGGCCCGGGGCCAAATAATACTGGAGAGAACAGTGGCCAGGTGGTTATCTAGGGTTGTGTGCCCTAGAAACGATAGACATTCAGACAGTGGCTTGTGGGGAGAGCTCCTGACCTATCAAATGTCAGGGAAGTCTTTATGTTTCTATGTTATTTCCTTTGGTTGTTTTCTATATTATTTCCTTTGGTTGCATTAGGATCATTTTCACTGTATTTTCTTCCTAGTTAGTTACTCTATCACTGTTTTCCTCTTCCTTTACCGATAGAAGTTGTAACTAGCTATTTTATTGAAGTAATATCAGTAAGTTTCCCCGGTTCCATCAGGCTGCTACAAAAGAAGAGGAGTTAGCATAATTAATGGATATTGAAAACTGAGTGCATTAAGAATTTTTAGGACAAATGACTTTCTAGTAGAACTGCACCCCACACGACTCATCTTTAGCCAAAAAAGGGGGGCCAAAATTATACAGCAAATATTTTCTATTTTCATGAGCAGAACCCATCTGACAGTTCATTGAAGCAAATGCCAACCCAACCTTTCAAAATTCCAAGGATAATAAACTGATGCAAATATTATCAGCCAAATGCATAATACTAACCAGATAGAAAGTTCTAACAGAACAGAAGGTAATACCAATTCAAGTAAATAAGAAAAAAGTAAACCTACACTCAGAATTCGGTTACATTTAAGTCTTTTAGGCTAACAGATCATGTTCCGCTTGGACAATAGGTGTCAGTACCTGAAATGTTGGAGCTAAACCAGGGCTCCTGAAAAAGCGACCTCTTGTAACAGATTGGATCCCATCAATCTGTTGCAATTCTTGGATAAGAAATTCCACTTCAGACCACTGTACAAAATTGACCATATTCTTCTTTAGTAATACACTTACTGATGCTTCAGTGGATGCAAAATCCACATTCCGCCGTACAGTTATTTCCAGAATTAATTGGGATTGGGAGAAAATTTTATGCAGAATATGAGATAGAATCCCATCTCAAAGTATAGGCACTTGGCCAGAAATAGCAAAATGGAACAAAATGCAGGTGCCAGCTATTAATTACTATTCCCAATAATCTCATGCAGTCAATTTTGTGGCCACACAAGCTCACCCTAAAAGAAACAATTAACATATTCATTTGCATTCACCATGGACTACGGTACCAGGAAAAGCAACATGACAAGAGAAAAATGCTAAAAAAAAAAAACATAACTCCTTCATTCACATCATAAATAAATACCTTGATGTTTAGCTAGAAAAATAGGTCTAATTAGTAGCACCCATTCCAGATAGGCAGTCCATAATTGTTAAATAGGAGCTTAGTTTCAAAATAAGAACATATATACATTATTTAACAAAATACATATCACAAAGAGCATAATTTCAAAATAAGAACATATATACACTATTTAACAAATACCAACACCAGCATTTAACACCAGCATTTAATTGATAATACACGAGCAATTATAGGTATATCCTTCAGCATCATTGATCTGATAGAGATGATTGCTCTTTTCTCATTTACAAATTTAATATTTTTACCTCCTCATCAGTTTGAGCTGCTTCCAATCTCTCATCCATGGGGTCATGGTCCCCAACTACAGATTTCAAGGACTTCAACAATGGATCAGGCTGCCATAGAAGGGAATGCATTTTGTTAATTGTAAAGGGTAAATAGATAGTGTTTTATGTATTGGCATGATTAGTGGATACGAGTATTAAATAATATTCATTATAAATAGCCAGAGGGCCGTGATGTGATTAACAGCTGATTTCATGGGATACAACTAATATAACCATTACGTATCTAGTTCAGTAAGTGCATATATACATAGACCTCTATAAATGATATTTTGAATCAATGAAATGAATGGATTAAACCCTCAAAAGTAAAGCTTCTGACAAACTCTGTAGTTTCACCCTAGTTTAAATTAAAAGCTTAAATGAAAACACACAAAAACATATATTACCATGATCTCCTTTAGTGACAAAAATATGCGTTCATGCACAAAGTCTAATTGATGAACTTTTGCCTCTACAACCTGGAAAACAACAAAAAATCTTAATAAGGATTATAGAAATCATAAATAATTAATTAGTTGCACCAATGTTAAGCAATCTGATAATTGATGGAAAAATCACAAAAGTTGTTCATGACATGCATCAATACTCTCCCTTTTCATCTATTACTGAAAAGTAATCTCAAATTTCCTAGTCTGAAAAATACCTGACCAATCTTAAAATATGATGCTGGGTCTAAAGTTGCATCCCATGATACTTCTGTCTGATGAATTAGTGCTGGAACTCCTTCGACCTACATTTGTATTTGATCAAACTTACAAACTTGTCACCTTCATGGACTTACATGAAAGGCACTCCAGGCCCTCCACTAAACATATGCCCAACAAGGCGCTTAAACTATTTTAGGTGACTAAGTATTAACTTCCCAACTGAGAATCAAATGCTTTTATATACCTCAACAAAAATGCCAAAGTAAGTTATTTTCTGGACGGTACATTTTACTATATCACCAACTTGAAGTCTAGCCTGCCATTAGAAACAGAAAAAAAAAAAGTTGAAGACCAGTTGGTGTCACATTCAATCAACAATATTGATACAAAGATTTTGCATCTCAGTGTGTGTCTGTGTTTTCACTACTTACCATAAGATTTCTCTTCTTCTCAACAAACTCTTCATTCTCTTTTGGTCTTAATGACAATATGAGCTTCCTTAGTTTCCTGTCCGCCAATACTACATTGACTTTAACTTTCTGCAATCATATCATAATATATATATATATATTAATAATATTCAAGCTTCACTTTTAAAGGAAAACTTCAGGACAGATTAGAAAATAGCACAAAAGTTTTGAATACTGGACCTGGCCAATAAATGATGACAAGAACATAATTTTATCTTGGTCATAAATCCTTAACAGATCTTCCAATTTCATATCCGGTGAAATTTTCTCTTCAACTATATTATCAATCTTCATGTGTTGAGGAGAATCACGAGGAAAATACTTGTTTTCAGCATCATAATTTGCAATAATGCCTAAGTTTTGCTTGTAGATTGATGGATCCAAGCCCTTTCGTCTTAACCAAGACTCAAAAGCAAAGAACTTCCACTTGGCAGCAAGATTACGATATGGCAGAAATCCTACCAAGGAACCAAAAGACGCCTGTAAAATGTTTTTAATTAGGTTCAGAAGAGATATATTGAGAAAAGGCCATTAAAAACAGAGTGGAAGCCCATCATACTGCCCTGTAAGTACTTACAACAAAACCTCTGGTACTACAGCTTATTAGTTCCACATCTGACCTATCTCCAGTCCTAACCAAATCTTCAGCCCTGGTCCAATCAGCATCTTCATTTTCCTTTAGAAATGAGAGCAAAAGTTATCACCAAGCATTTGCAGATACATGACAATTAAATAGTAGATTAATCACTTATGGAACATGAACAGTCTAACCTGAAAGTTTGTCATAGCTATGAGATTTTCTAATTCAACAGTGCTGTTGTAATCTCCAGGATTCTCAAAACCAGTCGCTTCTCCAGGAGATTTTGAAGTTTGTTTCACAGACCGGTCTAATCTACAAGACAAATACATGAAATCTGACAAGAATTGCCACTATACAATGACATCATGTAACAGTAAAAGAAATCCCAGACCTTGTTGGTTTTCCCTGCAGTGCAGCCTCAACAGGCAACTTGACACTATAATCAGCTGAATTTAAATCTGAATGTTGATTCGAATCAGTTTGCTCTTGATGAGACTCCAAATGTCTCTGCTTGTGTTGCTTCAACCCCTAAATGACCGAACATTTAAAAGTGTGTGTATATATATATATATATATTCTAGCCATGCATAATTAACTTCTCTATGGCAATGAAAATAAATACCTACATCATCAATGACGCTCACTTCTCCAAACCCCTCACTTTCCCTTTTGCCAGTTGCTTTGTCTGGACGTTCCAGCAAAGTCAAGTTTCCAGTTTTATCATCTAACTCTTCTTTTCTCATCTGCATATCATTACCATTGTTCATTTGGGAATTTGCATGATCAGAAGGCTCTTGCTTCTGATCAGTCCCCTTTGCAATTGATGGCTCAGGCTTCCTCAATACGGTCATATCAGCTGGTTCTTCTTTCATCACCTTCAAATCATTATCATTGGTCATTTGGGCATTCACAGGAGCAGAAGACTCTTGAGTCTGATCAGTGTCCTTTGTGAATGATGGTTCAGGCTTCCTCAATAGTGTCATGTCACTAAACTTGTCCTTTGATTGCCCATTCCACATTTTTAGAGACAAATTTGGTTTTATTCTCAACTTTGATGAAATGTCTTCATTGCCATCCTCATTATGCACAGTTGGCTTTCTTAAGATGACATTTGGCATGCTACTTTTTGTTACATTCACTGTCTTACTTGCTGGTTTGGTTCGTTTCTTAATCTCCAATGAGGCTTTGTTATCATCAGATTTGAATTTTGTTCCTTTAACAGGAACAGGTCGTACTAAACCCAATCATCTAGCGAACTTGAAGATTTCCTCTTAGACCCCTCAAATGGAACTTCCCCTACCGCAATAAGTTTACCCTTATTCTTATAAAAGGATTTCTCAATATCAAGATAAGAAGCTTCAGGGTTTGCCTTTCTTCCCATTATCTGAAGCACCATATATAATCATAAATGAAAGAGTTATAAGTGCACACATACTGGATCATTGAACGCCATAGTTACCAGACTAATTCAAGCATTCGAATGTATATTAACCACATCAAGTTATGTGAAACAAATTAATTTTAGAAAATTTAGAAGAAAAAATTGCCAACATAAAAGCAGAGCTTATATTTATTCCTTCAGCCTCTTTACCAATTTTGGTCAGCATCACCTCTTCTATGAGACCAAAAATAAGAATGTCCGCATGGATGGCCTAAGTATGCGACCAATCTTACTCATGTTTTGCATCTTTGACACTTATATCAGACTCAGACATGCATTAAATTACATTTAAACACTATTATTCCAATATTTGAACTGTGTTATGTTGGCTCCTAAGATTATACTATGTAATGAAGGGACAAAAACTGTAGAAGAAAAGAAACGTAAGAGACCTTGGCTAGGGTAAGCTTTGGGTGCTCGCCAATTTAAAAGAAACAAAGCTATTTTACCAACATCACTTCTTCTACGGGACCAAATAAGAATGTCCGAACGGAAGATCCAATTATGCGACCAATATCAATCATGTCCAACATCTTTGACTCTTATATCAGATTCAGACACGCTTTAAATTACATTTAAACACTATTATCGAAATATTCGAATTGTATTATGTTGGTATCCGTGGTGGTGCTCCTAAGACTACACTATGCAATGAAAGAGACAAAAACTGTAGAAAAAAGAAAGAAACACAAGAGACCTTGGCTAGCGTAAGCTTTGGGTCCTCGCCAATTAAGCGCCCGAACTTGAGTTCCATCTGGTCAAACCTGTCAAGCTTGGGGGCCTCATCCCGTGAGGCACAAAATATGAAGGCATTTGATCTTTTATTGAAATAAAGGATTCTGATAGCACTTCTTCTCTTCGGTGAAATTGAAAGAAGGCTGGTTCGGCCGGTGAAGAAGGGTTTGCCGGACATGGCTGTGGTGATGAGAGCAAGACCGTCCATTTTCCTTAGAGCTTGCTACTATTATTCTCATCACAGTTCACAAGGCAATAATGGAATTAGCCATTAGCCACTGTTCTTCTATATCATGTGGGTTTTACTTTTGATTGTGCTGCCAGGGGAAAAAGATGATGCTTAGAAATATGGTGGGGATAGATAAACGGCCAGCAAAAACAAGAAGAAAGGTGTTATCCTCCCGAGAGTAACGTGGCGGCAGTTTATAACGTTTAGACTTCAGAGGGAGAATTTCCCCCACTCATTTAAATACGCCAATGCGGCTGAGAGTAGGGATCAAGCTTCGTCTAAACGTATGTGGTCTAATTATAAATTACAAATTTAAATTTATCTTTTTATTAAATGAGTCACGTGATAGGAAATTAGTCGCTTATCCTCAAAATTACACTAAAACTAACCCTAATACAATATAGGGCCAACCCTAGGTCATCTCCCAAGGAATGGTTTTAAGTCTAATTGAAAGTTATCTAGTGAAATAAATCAACCAAAGTTTGTAGGAATTTAGTTATCTAGCTAATTATCTAAACTAATTACCTAATATGCAAGTAATTAAAATGCTAGTAAAAGTGAGTGAAATGAACTTTCCTTTTTACAATAATGGAACCCTAGAGATTAGTTGATTTTGGACTCATTATCTTCTCATGATTAGGCTAAGTTTAGCTTCCCTTTCCTTTTGACTAAAGCTGTCATGACTTAAGAAAATTATCCTAAGCCAATTAACCTAATTAGCTAACCTCCCTAGGTCTTAGATTAAAGTCCCTAGTTCAATTAACCAATTGGTGAAGACATTAGCCAAGTGATTCACTCAAAATCCTCTCTCAACAGCCATGGTCAAACACATAAATTGAGCAACCACAAGATTATGTCAAGCTACTCAACAACACAAGCATTAACACCACAAGATTATGCAATATTAACACAAGAAATTCACTAATTGAAAAACACAAGATTATGTGCCAAACAAAGAGTGGCAAAATTCAGTCATAGCTGTCCAAGGAAGAAATTAAATGAAACAATCCTCTCTCTTTACATCAACATCAAATTCAAATTAGAATTTATAAGCTAAGATGATTAAACCCTAGATTAAGGAATCTAACCATCTAGTAAAAAGAGAAGAGGATAGGAAACAAAAGAACTTAGCCAATTTGAAGCTCAAGACTCATCCTCCATCTTCATCTCTCTAGGATTCCACAAAGAAACTTAGCCAATCTTCATCTTCAAGAACCCTAGTGATTGCTTGTGAAGGCCAAACTCCATAGCTCTTGAATGATGAAAATGAGCTTCAATCCTTGTGAAAATGGAAGGGATGGAACGAAAATGAATAGAGGAGAAGAATGGTATAAGTTTTGTGGAGTTTTGGTGGCTGCAAAATGGAGGTTAGGGTGCTGGAAAATGAAGAACAAAAGAGAGAAAATGAAGAACACTATGAACAAGAGAGAGAGAATGTGGAAAATGAATGAGATATGTGTTGGATCCCATTTGGGACTTAAAATGACGTGCTCCTTGGTGTCTCCCATCAGCTGAAGCTTAATTAAAATAAGGAAAAAGAAATTAAAATGTAAATGGAAGCCTTGTCACACTTGCAAGGTGGCAACTTCCTATTGGTTTGTAGATGATTCCAATGTGTGCCTAATTTCTCATGTGTCATCCACATCATTTTAGCTGATCTAATCCCTCAAAATAATCATAATTCACGTGCAAACCATCAGCCATTGTCCTCAAGGAGTGTTGACCTCAATTGCCCAATTGATGCACAAGTCACATGCCACCTATGTCACATAAATCACATAATTCAATTAAATAGCATATGATATAATAAAATCTAATTCATGTCCAGAATTAAATTCATAATTAGAAGGGAGAATTTATTAAATTAACCAAGTTTCAGGCTGCACAAAATTATATAAAAATTTTCACACAAAGGCAAACCAAAAACTAGGACAAACTAAGACACTTAAGAAAGTGTTGACTTTTTTATTTAATTACTCCCAAACTAAAATGAATTTTAAAAATATAATTTCACCATTCATCAACTGGACATAAAATGCACTTTGTCAATTTTTCTTGTACATTTTCTCAAAAGTTCATTTTTTGGACCAAAATGCCCCTAGTGCACTGATCTTAGAAACTTAGGCAAAGTTCCAAATCTAATGCAATGTGTGTACTTGAAGGTGATAAATCATTAATAAAATGGTCCTAATTGACAAATAAAAGTGGGTAACAAATGTGTTCTATCATCACGCCAAAGTTTAAAAAAGCCAAGCTATATACTAGTACCCTATAAATTTATTTACTTATTTTAATTTAATACAATTTAATTAAATTATATTACAATATATTAGATATAGATTTACCTATATTTATATAAGGGTGAAAATAATATTTACTTATATTTATAATAACTACGTTTTATTACCCCGCATGATGTAGAGAGATTATAAGTAATAACTTATTAAATTAAGAAAAAATTATTTTTTATATAAAAGGAAGATTTAAAAAAATAATGAAACTAAAATTATCTATAGAAAACAACCAAAAAATAAAAACTTGTCGGAGGCATGAGTATAGCGGTAGCCATGCACATACTAACCCATAATATTATAAGTGGATGCAATTAAAACTTGTGAAGTAAATATGCTTAAGCTACTAACCCAAAAAAAAAAAGAAAAAAAGAAAATTGGAACATCTCTATTCCCATAATAACTTACATTCCTGTCTCTCATCAAATTAACTATTATAGACGGATTAGACAACTATATATGTGTTGAAGATATGCTTTGCACAAACAGTTATTATTAGATTATATTCCTCTCAACTATTATTCATAATTTCTACATTTGTAATTCATGCGATTCGTACTATCAATACAATGAAAAAGGATTAGCGCATTGTAATCAGGGTGATTCATGATTGAAAATTAACAGGAAGAAATACATCAAAAGAATCTAACAGTATTGAATTAGTTTTTGAGGACAATGGAGTAAGTGTTTGTATCTTTTGTATTTCTTTTTTATAATTTGAATCCTATCAATTACATCAAATATATGAGATTTATTCAATCTATAGGACAACATTGCTATAGGGTGACTAAATTTTTGCAATCATTTGAGAGCCTTTTGCGAGACATTTTGGAGATAAGTTGCATCCCTTTAAAATATATGAAATTTTAAAATTTGGAGGCTTTCAGTATTCCTGATTATATAGGATAACAGATCATCCTTACAAGATTAGCTTTCATGTTCTCTACCTATATGAAGTTGCATTTTGAGACGGGTTCCATCTGTCGTTTGGGTTTAATTTTGTTAATATTCCAAAACTTGCAAATAGGGAGGCAATAAATGATAATTACTTAGTTGGTATGTATTTAAATTTTTTGAATTTGCTTTTCAAAAATAATAAAGTATTTATTTAATATCTACAGATCTCCTATCAAATAAAATAAATAGGTCCAAAAGAATTATTTATTCTTTTGGACCTATTTATTTGATAGGTTCAGAGTATGAAGTTAGGTTCCAGATAATTTATCATTTTTATATATTTTTATTTTATTTTAACTAGATTTATCTATTTGAAATTCAAATTGAACAATTTAAAATGGAGTAAGCAGATTATTTTATATTTTCATACAATAATAAAATTAAATTTTGGTTATACTTTGACTAATCCAACTTGAAAAATAACCTAATAAAATGTATAGATCTATCTATTTGAAATTCAAATCATTATTTTGTTATGAGACAATTATATAATATCTTCATATTTATAACATTTTCTCTCATTTAATTAGTTATTTACTTTATACAATCAATAAATTAGAATTTTAATAAAATACAAAAGGATATTGTACATGTAATATCCTCCTCCTTTTAATCCTATAATTAAATTCAAGTCCCAGGTAATTAGGAAATAGGATTATAATAATCATCAAAATATAAAATTTTTATTGGTTAATAAAATGGGGACCCCAAGTTTATAATACTAAAATCATTTTCAAGTCTTATGATAAGACAAATCAAAATTCACAATGATGCGAAAGCAAGGGATCATTGCATAAGTGAGTGCATTTGTTTAAGAATTTAAAATAAGAGAAATTCTGAAAAATTTTGAGGTGTGTGCCGCAGCTCGTTGAAGATGCATTGCGGCGTGTTCGCCTCTGTGACATGCGCCACGACTCGTGACACCATAAGCCATGGTGCAATTGCATAAATTTTAACAGTGAATTTTGATGTTAATTTTGATAGCATTAGGGCTAACTTCCAACACGTCCCAAGTCTCCATCTGACATCTAAATGACACAAACTAGGTGTCTACAGAAAGCTCTTTTCAGGCTCTAACTAATGGCATTGGTCTCAGACTCAAATTCTTTTTAAAATAAAAATTGGACACCCTTTTTAAAACTTACATTTTTACTATAGATTTCACAATTCCAAGTGTCCAAACCAAAAACCAAGGACCAATAGCCACCAACACTAATATAACCAGATACAAATCATCAAGACTAACTCGTGCAATACACCATAACACAAGGAATATTTTCAAATAAAATTTCCATTACTCAACCCCTTAAACTTAAAAACATAGAAAATGGGAGTTTACCACAATTTTCATCAAGTTCTCCCAAATCATCACATAATATTCTCTAACCTCACTTGCATTAGTATTTTGGCCCTATCACCATAACACATAATAATCAACTCTCTCCCTAGGGCCTAAAATACCCTTACAATTTACATTTCACATAATGTAAGTAAGTAACAAAAGAGAAATCCTAGTTGGCAAATGAAATTGTCATACACATAAGTTTACCCAAAATAAAGAAGCCTATTACAAAGGGATTGCAATCCTAAGCCTCTGGGTGTTTTCCTCTGTCCACACCTCTTGAATTATTCCCTGTAATAATGAAGATAATGGGGTGAGTATAGCTACTCAGTAATCAAGGTCCAACTAACCTATACTAATGCATGTCAATTAGTTTAAATGTAAGTGGCAGTTAATATTAATACTTTAACCCATGTGTAACAATTGAAATTAGATATTCATAATTCAGCTCACATAACAGCATTTACTTGGGAAACAATGCTTTTAACACTTTTTATATGAAGAGAGTTAGTCACACAAATCATTAACAAATATATTGGCAGAAATTAAGACTCAACTCAAGATGTCATCATTATAGACTCAATATAGACATTAA